ATCTTCCTGCATTTCAAAATCACTTGGCTTGTAGCAGTAGTGGTGGTGCCAACACCGGCAGCCCTGTCCCCCTCCAAGGCATCCCACATTATAAGGTGCAGCCTGTGTGCTACACAGTGGATGCCAACTTTGTTGGCATCATGGACAGCCTTCACCCTATTGGCCCCGTTGTCAGTGACCATGAACCCACGGGTGAGCTTGGCCAGCCCAGTGAGCCACCCCTGCACCATGCAGTTTGTGGCGCCCATGATCTCCCTTGAAGTGTGAGACTCATCCAGCACCTCGGCTTGCAGTAGATCCCACCAACAGCCTGACTGATCACACCAATGCTTTGTGAGGAAGAGGTAGGCATGATCGCCGTCCCGGCTGCTCCAGATGTTGGAGATGAAGTGCAAGGCTACCTGCAGCCCTGCCTTGTGCAGCTCCTCCCTCAAGTACTCCCTGCATGCCTCATACAGGGAAGGCACCACTGTTCTGCTAAAGGTGGTGCATGCGGGCACTTTGTAAGATGGGGCCAGAAGTGCTACGAGCCACTTGAACCCTGGCCACTCAACTAGGGAGAAGGGCTGGCTATCCAGAGCAAGCATCTCCCCAATGGTCTGGGTGATCTCGCTTGCCTTTGCAACTTGCCCCCTCTCTGTCTGCAGCTTTCCCCCATTAGTCCAGGGTGACCTGCCTCTGCTTTGGGGGGGAAGGGGGCTTTGAAGTGAGTGGGGGACTTCCCTTTCAGCAAGCTCACACTGGTGCCAGGCTGAGCAGCAAGAAAGGCAAAGGGGTGCTGCCTCCTCAGATGCAGCAGCGTTGCCGTGGTGGAAAAGTGTTTCACATCCTTGCCCCGGCTGATGTGCCTTCGACAGTGCTGGCAGATGGCAAACCTGGGATCATCTGCCAGTTCTAAATGCTCCTACACTACACTACTCACCCGCTTCTGGATTGAGGGTGAGGATCCTGCCTCATCCCACTCCTCAGCAGGCTGAGGCACAACAGCAGGAGGAGCTGCCTCAGCTGAGCCACTTGACTCCACAACCTCAACATCCTCCGAGGTGCTGCTTTCCGGAGGAGATCTGGGTCTAAGGGAAATTTGAGGGGCGTGGAGCACAAACTCTGATTCCCCCTTGGTTCCCAGAATTGCTTGAGCCAGTGCGCTCAGCACCCCTGGTTCCAGCTCCAGCTCCCACTCTGGCATTGGGAGGCTCACACTGAGAGATGACATTGGGGTGGAGGAGACAGTGATTCCACTGTTGGTGCCTATTTCTGGACTGAGGGGAGGTGGTGCAGGTGAGGGGATGTCAGGTGCCGACACTGCTCCCACCTCCTTGCTCCCACTGGCAGCAGAAATGTCATGGCTGCTTGGGAAGAGAATGCGTCTGTTTTGGGGGGTGGGGGGAGACTTGCAGCTGTAGCTCTCCCCCTACCCCTTTCCCTCCCCTGCCAGACCTGGCACCTGCCTTTCCAGCACGCTTCATATTAATCTTTCCTGTGGTGCAAAAGGTCTCTCTGTGTGTGTCACTCCTTTTGTGTTGTGTGTGTTTTTCCCTCTGTGTTGCATGCGTGCACTGGACTCTTCTTTGATTGTTTAATTCATTAATAAGTATTAAGAACTATGTAAAAAATATGTGCTGTCTGTCTGTCTTCTTCTCTGCTGTGATGTATTTATTTAGTATGGATTATGAATATGAAGTGTGACTCTGCTGTGTGCTTTATTCCCTCTGTGTTATTCCCTCTGTGTTGTGTGTGTGCACTGGACTCTTCTTTGATTATTAATAACTATATATGGCATCTTCTTCTGTGATGTTCTATTAATGTGAATGTGTGAATACTACTGTACTTCTTGTTCTTCTGTGTTGTAATGTGTACCTAAAATGATGTATCTCCTTCTAAGACCCTGAGTTCTGCATTAGTCTCAATCTGCATTTAACTTCTGTGTTGTCTTCAGTCTCTATGTAAACTATAATATTAATAACTAATAACTACTGTATATAACCTGACTCTCTTCTTCGCCTATGAATATCTGATTTTTCTTCTTGTATGTGTGTATATTTTGTGTATGTGTGTGTGTGTGTGTGTGTGCACATGCGCACGCGCACACGCAATCTTTGTGCCTCCCTGCAAAGTGATGGATCATGCTGCAGGGAAAACACAGAGCTTTCTTTTTTCAAAGTTTGGAAGAAAAAAAAAGAGCAAATATAAATTGAAATAAATTAATTGGATAGTATTAAGAGAAACTAAACTAAGCTAAGCTAAGCTAAGCTAAATCCTACCCAATCCTTTCTAATAACAAAAAGGAGCAGGTAAGTAGCAACTCCTGACTATAAAGCAATCCAGGCAGTGCACAATACCTTTCTCATGCTGTCCCTCAGACAGCACCAATTTACAAAAGGCACATCAAGCCTGCACACAGAGGCTTTTATGCTGTTTCTATGTCCCTCCCCGCAGACACTGTAATTGGAAAGGCAGTCAGAGAGAAATCTTGCTCACTGGCCACCTAGACATGTCAGTCTTCCCCCACCTGCACCCTCTCCCCCCCCCCCCCCGCTCCCCCTCCTTCTTCTAAGTTTCTGTTTCCCCATACAGACAGCCCTCTGAATCTTTTCTTAATCTTTTCTGAATTGATTCGGAAGCTTCAAATCGATTTGGAAAGCCTAAAACAGCCAGTGATTCGATTCGGACATGCTGATTCGGTGTCCAAATAGTCAGAATCTTTTCTGAATCTGAATCGCGGTCCTTCACATAGGCTTCACACAGCCCTAGAAGGCAGGTCTTTGCAGAGGCCAAATTGATAATTTTTAGCCCTTACTGAATACTGTCTTAGCAATTCACTACGCCAAAAGGGAAAAGAGCCAGCAAAGAACAGAATCCTAGGAAAAAAGGGCTGAAAGGGACCTCACAGGGTCACAGCTTGTCCAGCCCCTGCTCTAGCCAGGATCAGCCCTGATGAACCATCCAGGCCAAGGGTCCATCTAAGCTCCTCTTGAGCATTTCCAAGGATGGAGACTCCACAGGGTCTCTAGGTGCCTGCTCACTGCTCGACCACCCTCAGAGTCATAAAGTTCCTCCTAATTGCCAACCACCATGTTCCCTGCTGCAGCTTGAGGCTGCTGCTTCTAGTCCTGTCCTCTGCGGCCACAGAGGAAAGCCCATCTCCATCCTCTATAGTCTCCATTGGGTATAAACCCTTCCAGAACCAGTTCATTTGCTCTCACAATCACAGTCTTACACAAACATAAGCTTCAGTGGAAATAGGTTGCTGTAGTTTTGCTCCCAGAACTCAGCTGAGCAACTAAAGCTCCATGCTGAGGTCAGGAAACAGAGAGAAAGGGCGTCCGTGGGGAGGAAACTACCCAAGCGCCACAGAGGGAGAAGCCAGCCCAGCTCGGTGATATTACAGGAAGAACCGAGGCTGAACTGCTTGGAGGTCCTAGTGTAGAATAGCAGTGTCCTCCCAGACCACAAGTAGTAAAAGCAACTGCTCTTTGAATTCACATACCTGCTTATTTGGGGCTCTGTTGGACAAGCCGTTAGTATGCCAAGTGCCTAAATTACTGATACAAATGGTCTTCTGCTCTGGAGACACAGGAGATGACCCGGTTGTTTACCTAGTTGTAGCTGTTCCCTAGGACAGTCCAGCCCTGCCCCCTATAAAGCAGTGATTCTGCAAGAGGCAGGTGGTGTCACCTTTGGGGGCCTCAGATGACTGATTTGATAATGCTGCCTGTATCTGGTAGGATGTTCTCTGGGAAGGAGCTCCTCACCATAGCCCTTGGCCTTGATGCTACCTCTGTGGCTGCAGCAGCAAACAGGACTTGAGCCCCAGGGGCAACCAGGCAGCATTCCTTCTCCCTACAGAAATGTTGCCACCTGAGTGCCTGATACTGTCTTCCCTAGGTACGGTTCTGTAGGATCCTGAGCATGGAGTACAGGAGCTGAGCAGGATGTTAGATGTCATTTTGGAGAGTTCTTTGAATTGTTCCTAGTCCTTGGGTGGGATGTTCAGTAGTTGGGTTGTATTTGCCTGTTGTCACTGTAAGTATTAACAACAAATGCCTTTTGGTCCCGAGATGTAAGGGGCACCTGTGTCAACCCAAGACCTGCTGGAAGCTGATTGCCCTTGTGGTATAAATACGATTAGAAGCTAAACATAATGATTGAATTTAGACATAATGCCTTTGTTTGCAAAATGCTTCTATATTCGACATGGCTTGCACATGGCTTCCGCTTTAGCTTCTGCACATAGATTAAAGACACGAGATAAAAGACCCCCCTGTTAAAAACACACACAGGTGCTATAACCTATACATCCCGTGGAAATTTAGACATAACCATGGAAACTTTGACGTTTTGCGGAAACTTAGACGAAACAGTAGAAGCTTGTAGACGCTGTAAGATAGCCAATAATTACATAACACGCTACGGTTCTTTGTTTAGCTAGACTATAAAAAGACTCTCGGACAAAGACCGGGGGTCGACTCTGCTTTGGGCTACTAGCCCCCTAGTCGATCTTGTTTGCAAACAATAAACATGAGATGGATCCAGCCTGAATGTGTATGACTCTCTCTTAAGGTATATTAAAAAAGCCTCCAGGGACACAAAACTAGCCATTTGTGCAACAATTTGGCGAACCAGCCAGGAGTTGTCCTTGGACTAACCCCGGGGCCGGACAATAAGACCGGAAAAGGGGGTCCGTGAAGTGCGCACCAGACCGCTTTTGGAGTCTGTCACAGGCACCGGATCCATGAGTTGGGGCATCCGGGAAATTAAAGGCTTTCCTTTAAATGAGTCAACCAGGCTAAGTGGATCCGAAGAGACGGCGCCAGGGTGTTGACGGAGTAAATATTCATTTGCCTTGTGTCATTTGAGACGTCTTTTGGGGACTTTGTTGAGTGGTCTCGCGGGGAATTTGGAATTTTGGAACGTTCAGTATATAAGTCTGGACATTAGCTCCGGGGACTTTGTTTTGAGTGATTTTGTTTTAGGGTTCAGCAAATAGGTCTGAATTTTGATTGACACAACGAGTTCGGGTAGCTCCCGAGAAGAAAACTCCGCAACCCCATTAGGATGCATGCTAAAAAACTTTAATAAGTTCAAAGGGAATTACGGGGTAGAAATGTTAAAAGATAGATTAATTACTCTCTGTCAGCCCCGATTCTGCCTGATAAGGTAGTGTCGAACGCAAGGGGGCTCGGCTAGAACCTCGTGACCCAGTGGACAGATGTCTGAGTGATTTTACTCGTGACCCAGTGGACAGGGCGTCTGAGTGATTTTGTCTTTTCCAAACCCCTTGTCCCAGTAGCTTCTGCCAAGAGCAGGAGTGAAAGGATCCCTCCCTCCTTCCACTGTATGAGCTGGTGTCGGGTCAGTAGCCTTGAGTCTGGGCAGTAAAGACTGCGGGGCAAGGCACTGAGCAGCCCGGACGTCCTAAATAAGCCTTTCCTGTGTCTTTTTGTGTGTTCAAAATCATGGTGACTGGATCCGAACCTTATTAAATACAGGTCAGTTTAAAACCTTACTGCCGGCTAAAATTTTGTCTGGTAAAAGATCCTATTTTTGTGTCTAAAAACATACGTTATATTTAAAAAAAAACTGCTCAAGGTGCCTTCATCCGGCAGTACGTTGGGCTTGTCATAAATTAACTAGGACGCTGGGAGAAAGCCCCGGGTCCTCTTTAATTCTGATAGTGAGGGAAGATCTGACTCAAGGGTTAAGGTGCAGGGATGAGGCTAAAACGCCACCGGACACAGACCAAACGGATCGGGAAGGGATAGCTGACACAAGCTGTTCTAAAACACCTCCCCCGTATAAAAAAAAAAGCTGCAAAAGACTGAGGGGGCAGCGGGTAAACCGCTTTCAGAACTCATAGAGATTGCGTATGAAGTTTATGAAAATCGTGATCAGGTGGCAAAGAGGAGAGAAAAAACCTGAGGGGGGGGGCAGAAGAAAGAAAAAGGCCGACCTAAGATTGTCGAGAGAAAGAACACTGGAAACAAACACCGTTTGTGCAACACCCTGCTGTGTTTACACAGTGTTGGGAATCCAGTTACATCTGCACCAACCTCAGCGGTTCCTGTTTGTGGAAGTCGGTGGAACAGCAGAGATCCACTGTTCCTCCAGCAAAGATTTGGATGGGGCAGCAAAATTGCACTGGTATCTGAGAAAGGCAGGTGAGGCCCCCACACATATTAAAAGTTGTAAGGATCAAAATGAGAGCAGATTTGCTTGCAAGCATCAAAGTTGCAGCACAACACTGGAAATCAGGGGCATCCAAAGGAATGATTGTGGCATTTGTTACTGTGCAGATGCACGCAGCAGCTCTTTGATTTTTGGGATCCGAACCACAGTGATTGTTGGAGCTAATGAACCATTGCTTCTTTAATTAGAATATCTGAGTGTCTCATTGCTCATGTTGCATTAGAAACCCTCAAGAAACTGTAACTATAGATGAGTAAATTGCTTAAGTGAAGCTGTATTTTTAGTCAAGTAAAATGAGTTCAGCCTTAGCTACTGAAGGCAGAGAGAATGGGGTATGCAGCGTTTTTTTTCAGAGGAAACCTGGCAAGTGCTGCAGGGAAGTGCTGGAGTCTCTGTGGGACTGGTCTATGCAGCCAGGCTGGGAATGTTTCTCCCTAAGAGCTGTGACAGTGGGTGAGAATATTGTGAACTCCTGAAGCTGCTAGTACTGCCTTGAGAAGGCTGTCTGGCTCTATCCTGGCTAGGCTGGCTGTGCATTTGGCTGGGTCAGCAGGGCACAGCATGTTTCCTTATTCCACATTACATGTTTATCTCTCTTGACAGACGCACCACTGTGGCAGGGCTGCAGCTTAGCTGTCTGCCCTTGAACTCTTGGTTTCCTTTCTGCCCAGATAGCTTCACCAACAGTAGCTCCATGCTGCTCCTGGGCCCCGTTGCAGAGGAGAATGGAGTCACAGAGCCTGCACATCTGGCCTGTGTGATCCAGGGTGTTTCCCACCTCGTCCAGGTTTTCTGGTGCATTCCCAGAGAGGAGCCAGCACAGGGGATGCTGGACTCTCTGGAAGCCAGTGATGGGTCCTTAACACTCATTCATGGCATCAGCATCCCCTGGACCAGCTGGGCCAGTGGGGCGGCCATCACCTGCCAGATCACATTCAACTCATCTGGCAGCAGCATTACCAGACACATCACGTATTCTGCACATGAGTGGTTTTGTGCTAGCCCTTAGGACTGAAACTGCCAATAGCTTCTAAAGTGCATGGGTAAAGCTCTGGCTGCATTTTGCTCAAGGGCCAAAATCCCATTTATTCCTCTGGAACAAGGATCCCATTTCCTTGTGCAATGACAAGCTTCTTTGTCGCTTGCCCAGCTGCAGAGCTGGAAGGTTGTTGTTCCTCGGGGGCCTTTCCCCATTAGCAGAGACATTCAGGAAGGAGGAAAAGCCCCATGTTCCCAGCAACACTCTTTGATTGTGCGTGTCCCCCGTCGTGGAACAAAACGCCACACTGAAATTTCTTCTGAACACTCAGTTTATTAAGTGCTAGCAGTGAGAGAAGCTGAGGCAACTCTGCCTGGGCGTGGCCAAGCTCCAGCTTTTATACAACAATGTAAACAACTTGCGCGTGCAAACAACAGTACTATATATGGTCAATCAGGAAATGGATCTTTATGCTGGCACCTCACGGTGCTTTTCCACTATCCTTATACTTCCCGCTCACTTCTGTGCCTATGTAATGAGTTCACTCAGAGTTAATGGTCTCCGGAGCCATCTTAGGTGACTGGCTACCACACCCCCTTTGCCTGCCATCAGATGCCCTCACCTCTGAGGCAAAGCAGAGAGCAGCAGGGGAGAAGGAAGAGTCAAGGAGTGATGGGAGCCTCTACAGTGAGTGACGTGTAGGGGGCGAGGGGCAGGCAGGCCAAGGAGGATGGTGGGCTCTGCAGGGCTGAAGCTGTTTGTGGACAAACCTGCACCCTCCAGGGTCCATCCCAGACACACATGGCCTCCAAACTCCTCCTCTGAGGGGCAAGACTGGATCATGGCGGACATAGAAGGGACTCAGGAATCCCAGAAAATGCAGCCTGTAATGATTTAGGTTTGGCAGTGAATAATGACAACTATGAATAATGAAGAGAACAGACCTTTAATGATACCACAGCATGGGGTTCCTCTAGCACAGACCATGTGGCAGCCTCCATCTAGATTTCTCCTTACTCCCCAGCCATCCTGTTCAAATTCCTCATGTGATAAGACTTTCCCTTGTAAGGGGCTGTCTCCAAAGTCTAACCCTTATCGCTACATCTCTCCCCCACCTTTTTTAAAATAAAAATAACCATCACAATATAAAACAAAGACTCCACAACAACAACACAACAACAATGAAAGACAAAACCACTGCCACACCAAACAATCCATAACTTACAGAGGAGAGGTTACCAGCACTTCACTGTGGAGTGAGTCTTTACCACTCACTTTCCTATTCTTCAGGTCCCTTTAACTTTCCCCTGTCTCCTGGATCTCCAGAGTATCAGCTCCTCATTGGAGGTTTGGGGGCTCTCTGTTGGATCATTAGTAACTTCATCTTCTGAGGATAAGGAGGAGGAGGAGGAACTAGGAACCGTTAACTGAGGCTGATCCAAGTCTGTATCTCCTGCCAATGTCCGAGAGCTAAGTGGAAGCATGAGTAGGTCTCATTGATTACGTTGAAGCATGCCCCCTTGATCTGTCTGAACTAGATAGGATTGTGGGTGCACTAGCTGTTTCACCGTACCCTGCTGGTCCCATGTTCTCGACAAGTAATTCCTCAGGCAAAATCTATCACCTGGCTTTAGTAGTAAAAGCTTATGAGCTCTTGTATCAAAGTAGTATTTCTGTTCTTCTTCTGATCTTCTTTCATTCTCCTTTTGGCTACCATGTTACGACTTTCCAATAAGGTGTTAGTAATGGGAAGATTCAACTGTATCTGCTGACCCATTAACAACTTAGCTGGAGATGAGCCATTGTCCAGAGGTGTGCTACGATAAGCCAGTAGTGCTTTATATAAATCCCCTCCATTGTCCAATGCTTTTTTCATTAGGTTTTTCACCTTCTGAAGGGATCACTCTGCAAGGCCTTTCAATTGGGGATAACTGGGACTTGATGTGGTGTGATGAAAATCCCAGTCCATGGCAAATTGCCTAAACTCTGCACTGGAGAAATGTGGCCCATTATCACTGAATACTTCATCTGGGATTCTATGCCTTACAAATATGGCCTTCAAGCAAGCTATCACTGAGTGACTGCTGGTACATTACAGTGTACAGATTTCCAGATACAAAGAGTAATAATCAGTAACTATTAAATACACCCTTGAGTCCCACATAAAGAGATACCCACCTTCTCATAGGCTCTGTGTAGAACAGGGTGAGGCTTTAGTAGCTCTGGCTACTGGCAGGGTCTGAATTTCAAGCAGGTGGAACAGTTTTCAACTGTATTAGCAATGTCCTGATTGATCCTTGGCCAATACAAAACATCTCTTGCTCGCTTCTTGCATTTCTCAATACCTAAGTGTCCCTCATGGATCTTCTGTAGCATTCCTCTTTGGAGGGTCCATGGTATTATGACTTTACTTCCCTTGAAAATAACTCCTTCAATGAGTGAAAGTTCCTGTCCGCAATTCCAGTATTCCTGCATGTGCAAGTTACAGGTACTCCTGTCCTCTGGCCAACCCAAAAGTATCATTTCTTTCAGGATCCCTAATAAGTGGTCCTTCCTAGTTTCTTCTTTTATTTGTTGCATCCTCATGTCCGTGATTGGGACTTCAAAATGGTGACAGAATAAGGGAAGGAGATAGCAGAACTTTGGACATTTTAACCTGATGGTTAGCAATTATAGTAAAAGAAGAGTCACTAAGAGATGTGTGGGCAGGGGACAAAGTTTTCATTAGAACTGACCCAAGTGGAAACAAATAAGAACTGACTTTGTGTTTGTATCAAAAGAACTAGAGATAAGGAAGCAAGAAACTGTATTTGTGGCATTTAGTGATCTTTGGACGCTGATGGTAGAACTGAGTCTTGGTAAGAGCCCTGTAAGAGGACAAGGAATGTGGAAGTTAAATGCATGACTGCTACAAGATAAGATATGTCAAGCATACATGATACAGTATGAGGGGTGGAAAACACTGAAGAAATAGTTTAAGAGTACCAGAATATGGTGGATGATGGTGAAGAAGAGGATGGGAGAATTCTTCAGGAAGGAAGGTCAAAGACCTGTGGGGAAAAGAATGAAAGACCTGAGAACTTCAAGGAAAAATGCAGGAGCTCCTAAAGGAAGCTAAAGACAGAAGACAGGTACAAGAAGAAGCAGAAGAAACAAGGCAAGAGATAGAAAGCTGGTTTAAAAGAAGGCAAGAGACAAAATGTTTTTATCACAAGTACCCTGGATGGGAGAACATGAAAAGTGGTCCTGATACTTTTTGGCTAAAGTAAAGATGGTGAAAGGAGAACTAAAAGCAATGTGAGAAGAAAGTAGTACCTGGATGGAAAAGCAGGAGGAGGTGTGTAGCATGAACTAAACTAATGTAGCTGATGTTAACATAGAGTGTAATAGTAGTGAACTGTAACCATGTTAGTCTTGTCTTGTAAATAACTTGAAAACTCCATTGATTTAATAAATCGGTAATTCAAAGTAACAGGTGTTGGAGGCAATGAGATTTCATGAAGAGCTATATCAGAAGAAGGAAATAGACAGGAAGAAGATGAAGGTTTTGCTGGAAGAGAGAAGAGAAAGTAGAGGTGGAGGAAGCAAAGAAGATGGAAGAAAAGATAAGCTTAAAGGAAGTGGAGGAGTGCTTAAAAACCATTAAAAAAGGGAAATCACCAGGAGCAAATGAACCACCTATGGAATTTTATGAGAAGTTTTGGCCTTGGGTAGCGGGGCGTATAGTAGAAGTTTTCAAGGAAATAGCGGAAACAGGAGAGGCAGGGAAAGAATTTACAAGAGGGATTGTGATCTTACTTTTTAAGAAAGGGGAGAAGGAACTGAAAAACTGGAGACTGATTACACTCCTTAATATGGACTATAAGTTAATGGCCAAGACATTGGCTTTGAGTATAAGGAATAACCTCCAGAAGATAATACGTGACAACCAAGTATGCACAGCACTAAGTAGAAGGATCTCCAGAGTGATCAGAGATACACTGTTCCACATCCAAGAGAGGAAAACAAACACAGTTATAGCAAACCTAGATTTAGAAAAAACAGATGACAGAGTGGATCATGATTACATATTCAAAGTGCTAGGAAAACTGGGGTTCCCAGAGAAATTTATATGTTGGATAAGGTTATAGTATAGAAAAGCAGAGAGTCAAGTTAAAATCAATGGGCCTCTAAGTGGGCCTTAAAAATACAAGGGTGAAACAAAGGTGCCTCTTGTCACTACTACTATTTGTGTGCAGCATGGAACTGTTAGCACAAACAATATTTATGTGGTCACTCTCAGTGGCTAAGAAATCAATGCATAATAATTCCAACAGTTTAGTGCTGTGGATGGTGTGTAGACAGGTGGTCTTAATCGGTAAGGTTTTCCTTTGTATGCACCAGACACGTCTGACACTTGGCCTTCACATCTCCTGCTATCCCAGGCCAGTAAAATTGGTCTTGGACCAAAGCTAGGATCTGCTTAACACCAAGATGCTCCAAATTGTTATGTAGGGCTTGCATTGCCACTGCATGGTATGCCTTGGGGTAGCACAAGTTGCCTCTGCTTATTCCCATCTGGGTCAGTTACTAACCGATACAGCAAACCTTCTCTCTTGCAACAGGTGCCACTCACAGGGAAGCATTTTAACTCTTGGTGTCTTGGGTTCAAAATCTCAAATGATAGCACCCCTTTTCTTTACTTCTAGCATGCCTTGTATATCAGGATACTCTGTTTGAGCATGTCGCCACCCAGCAGTATCCAACTTGGGTAAAGGAGGCCAGTCTAAAATGATATACCCCACTGCAGCTGCAGAGACACCTTTAGGTGATAGACCTAACATTTCGGCAGTACATTGTGGTGGGCACCCCAAATCATCTAATGGTAGTCCTTCTAGGTTACAGATGCTCTGTATAACGCTCTGAAGAATATTTGAACACTCGTGGTGCACAGGCCAGGTCCCGGAGGACTGGAAAAGGGCCAATGTGGTCCCTATTTTCAAGAAGGGGAGGAAAGAGGATCCAGGCAACTATAGGCCAGTCAGTCTCAC